GGGGAGAGGAGGAACATAAGGGGAAGTTTAAGCAATGTTAAAAAACAAAAACATAGCTGTGTGACCCTGGGCAAGTCACTTAACCCCATTGCCTAGCAAAAGACAAAAAACAAACAAATTAACCATAAAAAATTATTTTGAAAAGCAGCAAATTCTTTGAGGGTGGGAGCTGTCTGTCCTTAATATTGATGCCCCCGGGGCTTCTCATTCATTCATTAGCGCTTGCTGACAGAGCTGGGAACTGGTAGCATTCTGGACTAAAATGCCCATCCTGCATGTAGAGATTCCACTACAAGTCGTAAGTCCTCAGGAGGAGAAGGGAAGGGAAAGGAACAAACATTTATTAAAAACCTACTAAGTGCAGGTATTTTAAAACACCTGCTATGCACCAGGCATCGGGCTAAGCACCTTACAGGTATCTCATTTGAGCCTCACAAAGATCCTGTGAAGTAGAAGTCATCATTATCTGTACTGTACAGGTGAGGAAACTGAGGCAGACAGGTGAAATGACTTGTCACACAGCTAGGAAGTATCTGAGGTCATATCTGAACTCAGGTCTTCCAGACTCCAGGCCCAAGTGCTCTGTGGCGCCACCTAGCCGCCTCTAAGAGGCTTTAAATATTTAGAAAATACATATGCAATAGTTACATATTTATATGTATTTTATTTATATTACATATTTATTTGGTTTGACATTTCCCAATTGCATGTAAAGTTTTCATATTTATCTTTAAAATTTTGAGTTTCAAATTCTCTCCCTCCTGCTTGCCCCTCCCCTATCCCTGGAGAAGGCAGACACTATATCCATTATATGTGTGAAGTCATTCTAGGAAGGCTTTGATCAAGAAGAAAGGCTCCATGCACACCCAAATATTCACAGCAATGCTTTTTGTGGCAGCAAAGAGTTGAAAATAAACCAGATGCCCATTGATCAGGGAATGGTAAGACAAAGCGCAGCACGCAAATGTAACAGAATATTACTGTGCTGGAAAAAATGACAAGGAGATGAATGAAGCGGCATCAAAGCCAAGGAAACAACATCCACGATGCCGAACGACGCAAAGGAAAAGGGGACCAGACAACGGAACTGAATGCCATGAAATGGCCCCAAAGGGGAGGGAAGAGGAAACACCTTCCTGGCTCCTCCGCAGAGGGGGGCCTTGGGCGCAGGACACACGGCCAGGCTTCATTTTCTGTTCTTTAGTTTTGCACTGTTTTCGTTCTTTTTTTCCATAGTTATCCCTCTCACATCAAGACTTTTCCCATCTCCACAGATAAAACTCGAGTTGGCTGAAGAATTTCATGGAAGCCGCAGACAACTCATGAAGGCCAGCAGATGACACAGAAAAAGTTTAGAAACTCAGAAGTGCACAAAAGATATGTACGTTATTGTGTATTAATACCATAAATATGTACCATTTCTTCTTCTCTGATACGAAGAGAAGGCCGCAACATTTTACACAGATTTCCTAGATTGTGGGGGGAGGTACTACATCCCTGAACCCCAAAATGTGGAAGGGATAACTATTCTTTATTATGAAGGATGGCTCTCTGAGTGGGATGAGGGGATGCAATGGGGGCACAGGTCAGTCAGTCTACAATCATTCATGAACCACTTACTATTAGCGAATCACCTTGCTAAGTACTGGGGATACAGAGGCAAAAAATTGTCCCTGCCCTCAAGGAGCTGACATTCTAATGTGTTGGGAGAAAGGTGCAGATAACTCAGTACATACAAGATGTATACGGAGGAGATGGAGGATGTCATCTCAGAGGAAAGAACTCCTGCAGAAGGAGAAATCTGAGTATTGAAGCAAGCCCCGGAAGCCAAGAGACAGATGAGGGGGCAGAGCCAATACAAACCACAGATGAGAGACAGAGTTTCAGGAAGGAACAGCAAGGAGGCCAGGGAGCTGCTCTTAGAGAAGGAAAGGCAGCCTAGGAAGGAGCCAGGTTGGGAAGGGCTTTGAAGGCCAAAAACTGGGGGGGTTAGAGTGAAGTTTATTGAGGAGGCAAGTAACACGGTCAGACCTATTAGAAAGCCATCACAACAGTCCAAGTGTGAAGTGACGGGGGCCTGCACCAGGCTGGTAGTGGTGTCAGAGGAGAGAAAGGGGCACGTAGGAGGGATGTTTTGAAGGTGGAAATGAGAGGTTTTATTATTTGCCCTGGTTATTGGCAAGGTAATTTAAAAATTCTATTGAGACCAATCTTGTAGGAGAGTGGACAAATGAAGGAAGATCTCTACAAGAAGAGAGTCTGCTGGACTCTGTTTGAACAGCACTTGGACCAGAGGACTTCGCCAGATGATGTCCAGTGTCAGACAGCTGTATGAGAAGAGATTCCTGAAGCTTTAAATGGACAATTTATCATTACTTTTGGGTCTCTGTATCTGTACTCAATCAGGGGACTGCCCCCTTTTTACTTTGTCAGTGCCGGTCGGTCAGTTCCTCCCTTCCTTTTCCCATATTGTTTTAAGTCCCCAAAATCCCTTGATGAAATGTTGCCCAGCCCAGTCACCTTAACCCCGCAGCCGGTGTAGTATCCGAGGTCAGTCGCAGTCTGTGGCTGTGAGCCTCCTGCCGAGATGTGGTTTGAAATTCTGCAGGGGCTGGCCGTTACGGGCGTATGTCTGACAATCCCGGGAATTAGCACCACCCTCATCCAAAAGTACAGCAATGGGGGCAAGGAAGAGAGAATTGCCCGTAATCGATACCAATGGAATCTATTGGAGAGGGACAGGAGGATCTCTGGATTCGATCGTTATTATGAGGCTAAGGGGTTGGAGAACATAACTGAAGATGCATAAGTGACTGCATGATGCCCATCTTCGAGATTGCAGAACACTTCTATGAGATGTTGTCTGGTGCCCGTTAAGGACGTAGCAGCCACCCAGAAAAAAAAAAAAGAAAGAAAGAAATGCTGCCCAGCAGCACAACCCCAGATAGAACCGTCACTAAGGCATTGCGAGGTTTAACCACTTTAGCTGAGGAGTTGGCAGAGAACTCTCGGATAGATAACTGATTAAAGGGTTAGTTAGAATCCTGGTTTGGCAAGTGGAAAGGAACAGCTGTATCCATTCAGGAGTATTAACTGCTGTAGCATGTTGTATAGTTCCATGCACTAGGAGACTGGTATAACAATCGATAGAGACATCCCTCACTAAAGATTATCCCAGTAGGACCCACAGTGGGAGTCCAGAGGGCAGGCTCCAGGAATATAAGGATGATGCTACATTATGGATCAATGAGACTTTCCCCAGTGATGGAGAATGTGAAATCATGTTAAGGAGATTAGAGGATACGGAAATTGGGAAGGTGTGGAAACCAAATCTTTACTTAAAAAATACAAAGTAGGAATTGTGAGAAATGAGTTAAGTTTCCCCATAAGTAGATAAGAAATCAGCACAGACAGGCTAACTTCTCCAGTGTATGTGTGTGTGGGAGAGTGATAACACAATTCTAGACATATAATGTATGTTAGGGGTGGGGCATATAAAGAAGATTGTAACCCAGAAGGATTAGGACCAATCCTGATCCAGAAGGGAGGAATTAAGCAATTACTAACTACAAAGCTTGCCTTGGCTTCTATCACCAGCATTTTCTTCCCAAGGAGGTGCGCTCCCTTCTGTCAAGAATCGAAATGACGCACTTCAACCTGTTTAATAGTCTTCGAGACACCAGTCTTCAGAACTGAGTCTGGGGTCATCTTTATAACATGAACTTTCTCTATCAGTTACGTCATGCAACTTCTCATAACTTGGTTACCAGTAAACTAAGTTAGCTATTGTCAGGTATCATTTCAATGTGTAAACTTGCCAAAAACCTTGTTGGGGTCATGTACGGCTTGCTGGGAATTTGCAAGTGTATAGAAATCTCTAATGACTGGCTTTTTACACCAGGACAAATTTAAGTTTGAGATGTAAAGCCTGGAAAAGTTTTTCCTAAGCTGTGATTAGTGAAACTTGCTGTGTGAGGTAAAAGGTCATAGGATTTTGAGTTGATGGGTCATAATCCATTGATAATCAATAATCCACCATCTGAGAGAAATGCCACAAGCCGCTCAAAGAAAATGGGATACTGGTGGGAAGTCAGCACTGGGAAAAGCTGAGAGGACAATTTTAGCCTCAGTCTAAGAATGGGAGCCTCCTGGATCAGTTTCTCCATTACGTTCCCTAGAAAAGGAATGTTACCCACCTGCCTATTCCTGAGTCTGGTTATGACGTGAATTTGATACCGCATGGTTGGAAAACGGAATTATCTGAAAACAGGATGTTTCATCCTGTCATATCTAGGCCCTGCAGTTTCTTTTCTGTCAGAATTGGGTCTTCCAGACTATAGGCCATTCACCTACGGTTGACAGCAAACAATGAGTACCAGCCGATGTCCACACATCATTCCCTGGATGCAGCCTGTGCTTTGTTCCATCAACCTCCTCTTTGGGGACCCTTGAGGCAGGGACAGCTCTATGCCCCTTGCCAGCAGGAAGCAGTTTCAGAAGCGGAGACCTTCGCCCCTTACTCCAAAAGAATTTGGGTTCTATTTGTTTGAGGGGGGAATGATGGGATTGGGATCTGGGCCCCAGAGAGAAAAACCCTGGACTTTCCCACATGGCCAAATCTCTGACATTAGCCTGAGGCTATAATCCCATCAATTGGACTTTCATTGTGGCTACACCCAATCTTCCTTCCACAACTTACCTCCCCATGGCTCCTGGCCGTTTTCCACCCTTAATCCTAGCTAGGCTCCATTCTCCCTTGGCCACTGTGGTCCAGGTCCCAGGAGTTCTGCTCACTCTAGCTTACTGGCCATTCCCATCCAGATCCTCCTTAGACCCCTCCTCCCATCACCCCAAACTACTAGGCCCCTCCTGGATCCCTCCCACCGTCCTTCTGTATATGAGGTCCATCTTGTCACCATTAAGGTGCTCAGATTCTTAAAATCTAGCCAATAGCTTACTAATGTTCAGACTCCTTAAGAGTCTGCCCAATATGACAGATGTTCTAACAAACCTTTGTTTATTAGGTGTTTGAAAAACAAAAGCTACTGATTAAGTTGACCTTATATCAATTGGGAAACAGGAAAGAAGCTAGACCCTGGCTACCCTTCCTCCGCTAGGGGGAGGATGCGGTGAAGAGCACTGGTAAGTGTGGAGCTTGATAGGAAAATAAAACTTTAATTTGAAGAGAAAGCAGCAGAGGAGAAGCAGTCACTCAGGAGCATCGCGGCCTGCTCGGTGCTGGTCCCAGAGGGGAGGGGAGGCATTCTGATTCAACTTGATTAGACAGTGAGACATCATTGGAGCCTCTTAGGGAGAACTGTGAGAGGGCCTGAGCCATCCCAGCAGGTCAAAGGTGAGCAGGGTTTGGGGCAGGCTTCCTTCGCCCCCTTCCCAGCGAGGGGCCGGCCCCGCTCTTCCCAGATGGTGAGGCCGTCACAGGAACAGATCTGCTTGGGGTTCTGGAAGAGGCCTGCAGAGCGAGCGATGATGCCACAGGCTAGCCTACAGGAGACAGAGGATGATGGTTGGTGTGAGCTGGGAAGGGGCCCTTGCCACACCCAAAGGCTCCAGGGAAACACCCCCACACCCAGAGAGGGGAGGGCTTCCTCACCTCTCTCCAGAGTTCCCGGTGACTTTGGAGAGTGGGTGTCCTCCCTGCCCCAGGTCATCTTCATCTGCATCAACAACCAGGCTTCGGCCAATGACGTCCCACACCTGCAGAGGAAGCAGCTCTCAGGCCCCCCCTGGACAGAAGGCCATCCTGTCCCATTTCTGCCCCCCCCACCCCCACCCCATCAGCTGCCTCAGTACCTTGAGCCGCTCGTCCTCTATCCTGAAGGTCGCTCTTCCAACACCGTTGGCATGGACGTTCCCCAGATCTCCCAGGTGCTGGGAGGGGCAAGACAGTGGAGGGTCTCCTTGCTCCTCCTGACTTCAGCCAGGACAACAAGGGCAGGAACTGGAAGGCACCTCTGGTGTCGTCCCCCCCCACCCCCTCTGGGCTCCAGCCCCTTTGGCGCCTCTGGGACAGTCACTACCTCCCCGGGCCACAGCGCCCTCACTCACAAAATGAGGGGGTTGGCCTGGCTGGCTCCAAGGTCCCTTCCATCCCTAAAGCCAGGGTCCCACGATGCCTTTCTGGCACCAGCGCTTACCCGGTGGGTGTCCTTGGGGCCTCCATGGGGCATTCCTTCAGGGTTGAAGTGGTCTCCACAGCTGCAACCCAAAGGCATTTCGCGGGCATGGAGGAGCTCAGCAGGTGAGGGATGCCGCCCACCCCCACCCACTCCAGCTACTCCTGGGCTCTGCGTCCCTGGCATTAAATGTGTAGGAGCTGAGCAAACAGCTGGTGCATTGACTCGGTCCCATCGGGGCTTGTGAACAGCTCTGCTCCTTTTTCCTGGCCCCGGCCCCTCCCCTGCCCCATCATTACGTCCATTTCACTCAGAATCCCATGGGGCACTGGCCTTTCAGCAAGGACCACCGAGCCTCCAGGGCCTCCCGGCTCATAAGCACTGCTGTACATCTTTCTTTGGCAAGCAATCAACAAGCATTTATTAAGCTCCTCTGGTGTACCAGGCAGCGGCACATAAAGGAAAAAGGGGACAGCCCCTGCCCTCTACTGAGGGAAGGCAGCACATTCACACATGGGCAAATCGAGTTCATGTCCCAATAGACGCAGAGTGACTGGATGGAGAGGCAGGGGAAACGGGGGCCTCTGGGGGGCCACAAGGGGCCACGGCAACCCAGGCAAGGTGGGTGAAGACGGCAGACGGAGCGTCCACGTGAAGAAGTGTGGGTGAGCCACTTCAGCTCCACGGGTGGACGAGCTGGAAGGAGAGTCTGCAGGGCGTCCTGGCAGCAGAAGGGAGCCAGTGCAATCCCTTGAGGGGTTAGGTATCCTGCCCTCCTACCAGAGTCTGCTGGCTATCCAGGCATCTGAGCACCTAGAAAAAGGGGCCAAAACACCCAGGGAGGACACAAGGCTGACAGAAAGTCATTCTACCCACCTGGCGCAGTTTTGGGTCAAGTCTCCATACTGATGGACATGGAGGCCATGGGGTCCAGGCTCCAGGCCATCGATTGTCCCCTCGATGAGGCAGCACTGAGGGGACACTTGTAGGAAGCGCACGACTCCCTGTACGGCCCCGGGCTGCCCCAAGATGGCCACGGCCGCTCCCAAGTTCTCTGTGAGACAGTGACAGGGGAGTTGCCTTCCCCAGCCCACCCTGACCCCCCCCCCAACATGGCCACAGCCACCCCCAGGCTCTCTGTAAGATGATGACAGGGGAACTGCCCTCCCCAGCCCTCCCTGACCCCCTCTCTCGCCCCCAGCTTCCTTTTTTCTAGCGATGATAAGCCTTCCCATTCCCAGGATGAACATTCTCCCCATGCCCGTCCCAGGCTCCCTAAGCTTGCCCTCCCTGCCACAATCCTGGGGCCCGGGTGCTCACGAAGCTCGTGGCTGCCCATGCCCTTGACACCGCCTGGCGCCCCGTGCTCTCCAGGATGCTCTGCACCTCCTGGCTGGGCAAGGTGGTGGTCACCAGGACACTCTGGTTCTCCAGGTGCACCTCCACTCCCTGGACACCTGTGAGAACAAAGGAGGAGGAGGAAGAGACAGCAACAAGAGAAGAAGGGTGGACGACCTGGGCCGCCTGCGCCAAAATCCAGCCGATTCCATAGCAGCCCCTCTGTGGCACCCCTGGGTGTCCCAAGGAGTCACAGCTGAGGCAGTGCCCATGTTTCAAGAGAAGCCCTGGACGGACACCTGGCCTCCAATGCCCACACAGCCCACAACCCCGACTGGGCCCCTGGGCCAGCGGTGCGCCCTCCTTCCCAGGATAACAGCTGGCCTGTACCCCAGTCTAAGGCAGGGGTTCTTAACTTGGGGCCCACGGACCTGTGGATAGATTTCAGGGGCTTGGACAGGGAAAACCAAACCAAATCAGGCCCTCTATCTTTCTTTCACTAACCTGTATGCGAAATTTAGCATTTCCTTCAACAGCTTAAAAACACAGTTTTGAGAAGGGATCCCCTGGCTTCACCAGACAGGCTGCCCAAAGGGTCCTGGACCCCAACATGGTGGCGTACCCGGCTCTAAAAGGACAACGAGGCTGGCGGGAGGGAATCACCTGCGCCTCGATGAAGAGCAGCCCAGTGTGGCAGATGGGGGAGGGGAAACAAGACCTGGATTCAAATCCCGATTCAGCCTCTTAGGACCTTGGGCAGGGAGCAACCTCTGTGGCCTTCACGCTGGCAGGAACAGGGAATTTAAGGGTCGGAGGCATGCCTGCAGCTGGGCAGGGCTGCAGAGGCCAGCGCCTTCCACTCTGGGCCAGGTCTGACTATTTGGATGTGAGAACGGCCTTCGAGGATTTGAGGAAGGGTCTGCGTTGCTCTGCCTGGCCCAAGGGAGCCACGGCTTGGCAGGGAAAAGTGCCCTCTGATGGCCTGCGGGGCAAGGCGAGCCCCTCCTTCCTGGATCAGCCCTTCAAATACTTGACTTGTCTCTTTTCCAGCCTCAACAGCCCCAGCTCCTTTGACCACTCCTCAAGGCCTTTCTCTACCTCATGTGCCTTCCTCTGGACACTTCAGCTTATCCATGGGTAGAATACTGGGCAGCCCAGATATGGTCTGACCGGGGCCAAGGACAGGGGGCTATGGCCTCTTTTTTTGGTCTATGTGTTCTTCCACAACATGACTAACATGGAAATGGTTTTTGTTTTGTTTTGTTTTGCTTTTTGGTGAGGCAAGTGACTTGCCCCGGGTCACACAGCTAGTAAGCATCAAACGTCTGAGGCCAGATTTCAACTCCGGTCCTCCTGCCTCCAAGGCTGGAGCTCTACCCACTGTGCCACCCACCTGCCCCCGCTACAGCCTCTCTTTAAGCAAACCAAGAGCGCCCCAGCCTCGTGGGCTGTTCTATCACGCCACAGGACTGATCCAAGCTGAGCTACCGGAGTTGTTACAAGTGCTTTTCCCAATGCTCATGACAAACCCTGGGAGTGGAGTGCTGGGAGAGTCCCTGCCCAGGGCCACCCAGGTCACCCTGCGAAAACCACTCTGGATGACTCAAGAATGCTGACTGATGCAATGGCCAACGAGCCCCCCAGGGGGTGCCTCCTGACCCCGAGAACGCCAGGGCCAATGGCTGGGGCTGTGAGCTTAATTATACTTCCTGGTTACTAGGGAGGGATTAAAAATGGTTTCTGGACTGGAGCAGTATTGCCGCTGCAGCCATACCCATACAAAATGTTTTTTAAAAAAGAATAAAAGCCTAAGGAAGCATTTTTTTTTAATGCCCAGAACAGAACAGAAGGGAAGGAAAAACAGACAAGGGGGGAAGCTTTGGAAGTCCGGATCCACCAAGCTGTATGTGAGGAGCTTCCCACTTCTCTGTAGCGGGAAATGCTCCTATTTGTACGTATTTGTCAAACCCAGAAGGGCAACAACTGTTCTGAAATTTATTTTTAAAACAACATGTCTGAGCCAGGCTTAAAAGCCAGTCTTCAGAGCCTTCTCTCCCCACCAGGCCTCCTGCTTTTCAGTCAGTCAGTCGCCCATGACCATCTCGACAAGCCTTCCTCATCCTGAATCTGTGCCGCTTTGCTTTTTGGAGGCCGAGTATGGGGCCTGGCCTGCTAGATTCAGCCTAATGCTCCCAAAGCCTCGTGGCTCCAACCATGGCCGTGGCTGGGCAGGCCATCAGTGCTTTTTTCTTAGTCCTTGATGAGAAATGCTGAAGGGCCCAGGGTCACAGAGAGGCCTGGGCACATTCCTCTCCAAAGTGGCATCTAACCATTGATGACTACTCTGGGTGTCCAGCCGTGTAGCTGGGTCCAGAACCACCAGGACCAGAAAGGAAACAAGGTGAGTCTGTGTGACCTGCCTGTACCAGAGGAGGGAGGGCAGAAGGCATGAAAGCAGGAGAACAGTGCTGAGGCCAGCCCAGGGGTCCAAGGAGGGGCCAGCTGCCAGAACCCTGACTCAAAGGGGCTCCCCTTTCCAGCAGACCCTGAGGGGCCACACAGGCCTGTCTCCTCTCTCTGCCTTCCAGACTCTAGGGAGACGCATGAGTCAGCAGGATTAGGGAGGGGGGTGGAGCAGGAGAGAAGCTAAGGGATGATGGTTTGGGGGTTCCTCTTTTTTTGGTGTCTTGGTGTCCTGGGGAAGGCCTACTTGCTTCGTGTTCCTGACCTGGTCCCCTATAGCATGAGGATAAGCCTAGAAGGATAGTGTCTTTTGGTGACTGGGGGGTGCTGTGGTTCAGCCAATGGGACTCTGAGCTGATGGGACTCCAGGGCAGGCCCTTCCCCACCTGCTTAGGGCCTCAATTTCCTCTTCTATATAATGACGTAATTAAACCCTGCGATGCTCATTCCCAGCCTCCCTGGCCCTGGTTTCCTCCAAAGATCTCACCAGAATGTGGCGAGGAGATTACTTTTACAACTCCAGCAGTTTTTCAGTCTGGCCCCTGGACTTCATCTAGGGAAGGGATTGTAATGCAGAACATTATTTTACCATTTAGGTAGTAGAACCCTTTAGGCCATGGAAAACAGAAGCTGCTGCTTACTCTTGCCCCAGACCTCTTTCCTCCTAAATCTAAACAATAGTGAAATGTACTCTTGCATAGCTCAGGCTCCAGCCCTCAGATCATATCTCTGGAAACCTCCAAATTCCTAGCAAGACCCTTATCTGGCTGCTCAGGCCACAGCCCTCAGATCATATCTCTGGAAGCCTCCATTGTGAGAAAGTTTGCAGAGCATTATCATGTGTAGACAGAGGGAGAGGGGTGTCCTTGACCAGCCCCAAAACTCTTCCTCTTGCCAGACTTCAAAGATCCATCCCCCTCCCTGTCCTGTATACTCCCTATATAAACCCTAGCTCAACCCCTAATGGGGGCTGCTTGATTTGGATGTGAATATCCCTGGCAGCCGCGCACTAATATAATAAAGTCCACAATTTATATTAGTCTGGGTCAACTCGCTAATTTTTTGGTATAACAGGATCTCCCAGTCAGGAGAATCCCCCATCAAAGCAGGCCAGGCTAGCATCTGGTCCGCAGCTCCTGGTCTTACAGTGCAGCCTGGGAAGGCCTTCAAAGGCATGGCCGCTAGCTTGCCAGACTCAGCCAGCCAGAAGGTACGGGAGCTGACATGAGCCCAGGATGGCCTGGCCACAGGGCTCACTAACTCCGGCCAGGCCAATCCAGGTGAATGTTAGCCTGGGACAGGAAGGTAAGAATTACAGGGTGTGGGGGTCTGGAGTGAGAAGATCCAGATGAATGCAGGCATCGCTTGTGGGACCCTGCACTGCCCCTCGCCCAGTACAAGCTGATGTCTACAAGTGATCCTGTGTCCCTACCTGTCACCGTTAACATCCTCCCCTGGCCCAGCCACAGGGCAGGAAGAGACCTTGAACTCCCTCATTTTACAGAGGAGGGAACTGAGGCCCAAGAGAACACGGAGTGAGAGGGGATCCTCCCTGGCCTCACCCTATGACCTATGACCTCAGACCCTTGGGCAACTTCAATTCAACCAAAGTCAATGACGCACCTACTAAATCCAGGCCTGCCCTCAAATCCATTTATCTAGGTACAAAATAAATGTAAATTGAACTTGGGGGAATAAGGGGCTGGGGCACCAAGAAAGGCTCCAGGACAACAGGGTAGTTGAGTTGAATCTAGAAGGCACAAAGAGAGAAGGGAAGGCATTCCAGGCAGGGGAGACAGCCAGTGCAAAGGTATGGAGGGCGGGAGATGGAGAAGCAGCAAGAAGGCCATTTGGCTAGAACACAGGCTAAGAAGCAAAAAGGTCCAGCCAATTAGGTTGGCAGAGCTGGCGTGCCAGGACTTTCAATGCCAAAAAGGAGCTGAGGCCGCCTTAAAGGCGGGAGAAGGAAAGAGGGAGAGAGAGAGAGAGAGTACACGCATGAACCAGAGGAGAGAAGATGGACTGCAGAGGGGCAAGGCTGGAAACAGAGGGGCTGGGGAGGAAACAGAACGGGAGACCCACTGTTTAAGTGTCTGCCACGGGCCAGGAATCCAGAAAGGCTTTGTGGGAGATGAGCCCCAAGCTGCACCCTGAAAGAAGAGCAGGAATGTGAGCCCCAGAGGTGAGTGGGGATGACATTCCTGGAGGGGAGCATGCCTGTGCAAAGACACAGAGGTGATCCTGGGGAGGGGGGCTTAGGAACCTCAGCGAGTGAGAAGGGGGTGCGCCCACATCCAGCAGGTCGTTGGAGATGGGTTGGAGAGAGACAACCCAGAGGCATCAAACAGAGGGGACAGTGGAGGGAGCTGATGAGATCAGCCAGAGGGAACCTCAGGAAAAGGGCAAAGCCTTGGAGGAAGGTGCAGCAAAGATGGGAAGCTGGGTGGGCCAGACAAGGGGATGGGGTCAGGAGGGAGGGCAGCGATGACAGAGTCCAGGTCTGCAAAAAGGTCAAGGTGAAGAAGCCGCCAGAAAAACACTTGGCAGCCGACCCCCTAAGGCCATGGCCCCAGACCTGGAAGCTGCCCTGGGGCCATCGGGCCATGCCACCGCACTTTTACTGACGGGAAAACTGAGGCTCAGAGAAGGCAGGACGCGGAGGGAAAGGGATTCGAATCCAATCCTCAGTCGCCAAACCCGGGCCTCACTCTCTTACCTGCCATGCCACGCAACGATGTCTGCACCTTGTCCACGCAGCTCTGGCAGCTCATTTGCACAGTAAACTCCAGCTGTGGGAGAAAGAGCTATGATGGTGGGGCGGAGCTATACCAGAGAGGGCGGGGCTACGCTGGTGAAGGGCGGGATCATGTTGAACAGGAAGGCAGGCGCATGGAAGGGGCGGGCACAGAAGCGAGGGGTGGGACTATGCAAATAGGGGCGATGTTTCCCAACCCACGTGACTCGCTGCTCAAGCTCCCAGTAGCTACTGGAACCTGGAACCTGGAACCGGGGGGGGGGGGGCCCTTCCCCCACACACACACGCAGGGGCTCCCTTGGAGTGAACACTCCAGTCAGCGCGGTTGACCAGTCCGCCCTCTCTACCGAGATCCGCTTGCCCCCTCACCGTGCACGCTGTCTTGCTGTCCCCGGCCTGCGCAGGCGCAGCCACATCTACAGCAGAAGCCATATTCAACCTTCCAAAGGCAGTACGACTCTCCCAGTGGCGCTGGAAGCCGACGGGTAGGGCGGGACCGTGAGACCTTTGGCCCCTTTTACGTGTCCACCGGCGGTTCTAGACTCCGCCCTCTCCCCACCTCCTGACTTCAGTTAGCCATTCACCAGACAGATTGGCATAAAGGAGGCGGAGTCACGAGACTTAGCGTTCCTCACCTCCACCCCCACCCGTAGCGGTCGGGATTCATAGACTCCGCCTCTTTCCTCCTCCTGACCGCGGTTGGCCACTCACCAATCAGAAGAGTCCAGAGAGGGCTGTATCCCGAGACCTTACGTTCTCCAACTCATCATTGGTTCATTCCTCCCGCCCGTCTTCTCCACTGCGTGTAGTCATTGGCTAGGCTAGGCCCAGCGGTGCTGCCCCTTCCTTTTCCCTGTCTGTCTCCATAGCGACGCGTCCAGGCGTCTTAGAGGCTCCTGAGAAAGCTGTCCTGGTGCTGGGTATCAGATGTGAGAATCCATGCGTCGGGGGTCTGAGGTTCCCAGCGCCAGGTGCTCGGGGGTCAAGCAGCAGCTGCAGCAATGGAGTACAGGAAGAACGGGCTGGGGCGAAGGAAGCGGCAGCGGCCTCCGTCGGACAGGACGGCGGACCCGGAGCTCCGGAAGCTGTACCATCGGCTTTTGCGGCCCCTGTCGCTGTTCCCGGGTAAGGAGGCACGGATCTCTGTGACCCCCGAGCCTCTGCCCACGTCTCCGCAGATCAAGAGTGACGCCCGAGTGGGGCGGGACTCCTACTTCATGGAGCAGCTGTCTCCGGGCTCGCTGTGCTTGCTGGTGTCGGAGCGGCTGTCCCGCGTGGGCCACGTGCCCAAAGTGCCCCCAGAGGGCCGGCGGCGGCTGGCCGAAGTCATCCTGTCGGAGTTGCAGTATGGCTGGCAGATACCGCCGCCCGAGCCGGGCCTCAGCCCGCGGGACCAGCAGAAACTGCGCCAGCGCGTGGAGACTCACGTGGTGCTGTCCTCAGAGGAGCTCTTCCTGCGTTACCTGCACCTGCTGATCACCCTGTCGGTGCCCGAGTCCGTGCTCACCGAGCCCGCCACGCTCACGCGCCTGTCTGCCTGCCTGGCCACCGACTGCTCCCGCTTCCTCACCAGCCCCGTCGTCTACCGCCGCCTGGTCTCCGACTTCAAAGACCTGCAGGGCCTCCGCTCCTTCCTGAAGAAGGGCACAGGGGCCATCAAGCCAGACTATTCCCGCAAGCAGGCCCTCATTCCACAGCAAACCATTGGCACCTTCCAGGCGTCCAAGCTCTGCCCTCTGCCCTGGCCTCACAGCATAGGCTTTGCCCAGATCCCGTGTTCGGCCCTCAACATGAATTACTTGATTCATTTGAGCCGGCCAGACTTCCTAGGCAGGCCCTGTCTGGATCGTTTAAAGGGGCTGTGGTCCATCCCAGACCTGGACCAGAGAAAGTACCTACGCTGGCTGCCCACTGTAGCCCCCAGGCCCCCCAAGGCGCCAGAGGTTGACCATGCCCCGAGGGCTGACCTCTCAAGGATTTTGAGCTTGGCAGGAAATCTGGATTTGCGGACCTTCCTGCACCTCCATAACCCCAGGAAGTGCCGCTCTTTGCCCAACCTCAGAGAAGGTTGGAAGCTTTCAAATGAACTGGGCATATGTTACCCTCCCCCTCGAACTTTGACCCCACTGATCCTAGCCTGGGAGACCCGAAAGGAGGCCTTCATAGGTTCAGCTTCAGAGGACCTCAAGCACATGATGAAAAACTTGAAGGTGGAGCTGTCCAGGAAGCCCCACCACAGCTCAACCCTACCTCCTCTCCTTGGAGCCCTGACCCGTGGCCCAAAAGGCAACTACCGAGTAGAAGAGCTGCAGACGACTCTGCAGACCCTCCAAGAAGAAGAAGCCTCAGGAAAGTGGGAGCACAAGCCCAGCCTGAAGGCCACTATGCATCCTCAGCCAGTTACGGTGGCCCTGACGCTGAAGGACCAGATGGTGCTGCAGGCAGCAGCTGTCCGAGTCTCAGAGCGGGCCTTCCACGACAGCTTCTTTGTGAAGGAGGAAAGTGTCCTCTATAACCACCTGTCAGGGGAGTTGGACAGCAGAATCTTGGAAGACCTGGATGCCGTCCTCTTTGCTGGGGCTAGCATCCAGGAGATCTACAATGAGCTTCTGAGTCGAGTCTCCACTGATTATCTGCTCTTTGATAAGGGGCCCCTAGTGGAGCCCACGTCAGAAAAGGACTGGTCAAGCCTCATGGCCTCAACCTTCCTGTACAGAGATCCCAAGTATCGAGTCATCAACCCCGTCCTTGACGGCATTGGAAAGCACAGAGTCCATACCATAAGCCTCGATCCCCTTCTCCCACTGCCGACTCCCCTGACGCCTAAGCAGTGGGCTAAAAGTAAGGCCTCCTGGATGCGCTGGTGGAAAGCCACGCTGACCCCAGATGACTACTTCTTGTACCTGGCCACTCAGGACTGTGACTTCCTCCATGTGGTCTTCCACATGTACCCAGAAGAGGAACCCGTCCATCTTCCTGTCATCACTAAAGACACCCTGGAACTTCTGCCCCTGCCTCCACTGGCACAGGAAGAGGATGCCAGGGAGTTTGTGCCAGGTATCTGGGATGCCAACTCAGTCCTAGAGGATGGCCTGGGGGCTGAGGGGAGCAAATGCCTGGGAGACCACAGGAAAGTCAAGCTGCTCCAGAGACGACTGGAGAGAATCTGGGCAGCGCTGCAGGTGCCAGACAAAGATCGACTGGACATGGCTATCAAGTACAGCACCAATGCCCGCATGGGGCATCTCCCTGCCCTAGTGAATGCCTGGGAGAAGGCCTTGCAGCCCATCCAGGAGCGAGAGCTTTTGTTAGCCCAGCTGGAACACTTTGAGCAAGAGGCCTCTGACCCCAATCGCTTCTTCCTGAAGGTCGATTATGACCTCTGGCGCTGGACAGAAGAGTCCCAGATCCGAAGCCACTTGTATGAGAAGATCAGTAGAGTGGAGGCCTTGCTGACCAGGCTCCTGCGGGACATCCAGATTGCCTTCGGGGAGTCGGTGACGTACAAGGGGCGCTGCTATCTGGAGAAGATGAAGAGGGACAAAGTGGAGATGTTGTACTGGCTGCAGCAGGAACGGCGAGCCAAGAAGCTGGTCCGGGTCCAAAAGGGCTCACAACTGCCTTCCCTTAACCCTAAAAACACAGGAAACTCAGAAAATGGCCTCATTCCCTCTCCCAGAAATGTCTAAACGGCAAACATTACGCCCTTCTCTACTCTCTGTCCCCATTTGTCCCCCAAATGAGTCACCCTTGGTGGTAGACTAAGAAATCCAGGCCTCGGGGTGGGGGAGGAGGAGGGGGAGAAGGGGACTAATTAGGGAGATCTTAGTTGAGTTCATATTTTGTTATAACAGATACCGTAGCTATAGGATGAAAATTGCTGTTTTACAAAAGGCTCTGCAGGCCCCAAGTTGACCAGCTAATTTCAAATCCTGCTTAATCAATGTGGCCAAGTTCTGGTACCTCAGAATAATTGGGTCTGAACCTTAGTGTTTGGTAAAGTAGGATTTGCCAGGTAAAACAAAAGAGAGGGAACCTGTTTAGCAATTCATTCTGCTCCAATTCTAAGGGATGCTTGGTTTGAGTCTAGATTAAAAAAAAAAAGCTCTCTCTCAGGTCTGGCTTAATCAGCAGTTACAGAAGGCCGTGGCTGGCTGATAGGGTGGGACTTGGCCCCATCCTACTTCCACATCTCCAGACTGTTGTTGATAGCTGAAAACCATTGCTAGAGCTGTATTTCTTTCTCTCGGCCCTGTTAAGAGCAGAGCTGACACCATCAGTGAGCCCAAAGGTACAATGGAGCATCTTGAACCTTTGCTGGGAGTGGGTTTTGATGGGGAAGAGTCTGGAGAAGGAGAACGTATGCATTGCCCTGGGTACTGGTGGGGCTTGGGCCCTGATGGGATGGGGTGGATGGGATGGAAAGGGTAACAACACACTTAGCCAGCTTTTACAGTTTTCCCTAAGGTGTATACCCTGACCTTTTTCCTCAAAGAGGCTGAACTCCACTAGAAGAATCTATTGAGGCTTTTTTGGACCACAGAAGTCTGAGGGAATCTTTCACAGATCTAGATCCATAGTTTCCCTACTTCTGTCCCCCATGGCTGGGTTTAGAGAAAGTCCAACAATCCAAGTTATGATACTCAGCCAGTTACACATCTACCAGGGACCCTGTGCCCCAGCCTGAGGGAATTTTTTTTTTAATCAGAGAAAGTTTCTTAGAGGAGGTAGCATCTGAACAAGGCTGTTACTGATGAGGAAGGAGATTCACTGGCTACCTGAGCCAGAATTTGGAAGGGGGAGAAGGAATATGCTTTCATCCTAGCTCCTTTCCCCGAAGCCCTGGGATTTCTCTGCTTGGTTGCCTTTAGACAGTTTGACCCAGTCTCCCCAGTATGGACTACCTCATCACCAGTTTGATTGTGAGCCCTATAGGAGTAAATGGAAAGATTTAAGTTTTCTTGATTATTATAACAAGATGAAATGATGCAGTCATACAATCAGCCCTGAACATCTGAGGTTTGATTTTTTGAGATCGTTTAATTTCAACATTTGTCCACCGGTCAAAATTGCACATACAAACAGATTTCAAACATGTAAAATACATGTGTGTGCCTTTATGTATATGTATGTGTAATGTGCATTTGCATGTGTGTATTGTTGTTTGTCCTCCGTTCCTTGAAGAAGACCATGACATCAGGGAGATGATGCCATGACATGCAAGTGAATTAGATTTAAGTGAGGCAGGGCTGTGCAAAGTCACCAGCCTCACTTTCTCCTCTGGAGCCATCTGGGTCCAGTGGCAAGATATAGAGCAGGACAACTGGAGGTGATCCTGAATGCAGTGGGAGACCTTGGCCTTTCTAAGCTAAGGTCTTTAATAGGTCTCAGTTTGACTGGGGCAATACCCATTCAGTGATTAAGGCTAGGTAAGAAATGAGGCAGAGAATGTCCTCTTTACCTAGTCAAAAAAAAAAAAAAAAGAAAGAAAGAAAGAAAGAAAAGAAGAGAAAAAGATAAATTTGGGAGGGGAAGACCCTCAGGATTTCTGGCCAAAACAGAAACAATTGTTGTTTACATTCATTCTGAGCCAGTCTGGGCCCAAATAATGACCAAGTGGGGCTTGGCCTGGAACCTATTGCTGGCCAGAGTGATTTGGGTTTAAAGCATAGTACATGTAGGTATTTATATATGTCTTACAAAACCTGTGATTCCATCAAAGAATCTCTTAATGAGGAACTTTCTCTACCAATTCAGATTTAAGCCTCCTCTATGCCTTAGTCTCAGTTGCTTGAGGGCACTGAGAAGTCAGTTGATAGATTTAGAGCTAAAAGAGAACTTAGAAGTCATTTCGTCCAAACCCTCTGACTTTACAGATTAGAAAACTGAGGCCTCCAGAGGCCATGAGAGTTTTCCAAAGTTGCCCAGGTAGGAAGCCAAAGAGTTGGCATGGTGAGCTCCACTATGTGATGGGGGGGGAGGGGAGGGTCATCAGCCCCTTCTCCAGCTCTCCAAGTCAACTTTTCCAGTTGACCTCCTACATTCATATGGAGATAGAGATGTATGTGTATGCATAGATGTGGTTTCTATATGCATATGTATACACATGTGTATCCCCTCTGTGTATCCTCAGATGTACATGCACGTACAACATCCACGTTATTATGGACAGAAGCTGTGATTGCTTTGGTGCAATCATATAAGAGATTTGCTGAGAAAACTCCCTCTCTCAGTATCCAGAGGAACACCTGTCCTGCAACTTGGAACCTTTGAAAGCTTCAATTTTGGCCTAGCTTCATTTCTCTTCTGGTCAAAATTCAGGGCAGCTAGGTGGCACAGTGAATAGAGCACTGAGAATCAGGAAGACCTGAGTTCAAATCCAGCCTCAGACACAAGCTGTGTGACCCTGGGCAAGACACTTAACCTAACCCTGTTTGCCTCAGTTTCCACATCTGTAAAATGAGCTGGAGAAGGAAATGACAAACCACTTCAGTATCTTTACCAAGAAAAACCCAAATACAGTCAAAAAGCATCAAATATGACTGAACAAAAAAAATTGCATTCATACCACAGTTTACAAGACACAGCCCAGTGAGGCAGGGTGAACGTGTGTGTGTGTGTGTGTGTGTGTGTGTGTGTGATTTCACTGGTATATGGAAGTCCCTGTGCAGAGATTCCTTTCACCAATGCAAATTGCTGCCTGCTCTGCAACTTATATTCCTTTTTTTTTTTTAAGGCAATTGGGGTTAAGTGACTTGCCCAGGGTCACACAGCTAGTAAGTGTCAAGTGTTTGGCCTGAGGTTGGATTTGAACTCAGGTCCTCCTGACTTCAGGGCCGGTGCTCTATCCACCTCACCACCTAGCTGCCCCAGCAACTTACATTCTTAATGGAAGCACTGCTGTGCCTGTTTTACAAATGAGCAAACAGTGGACTTTAGAAAAACCTGGAAAGACTTGTATGGACTGATGCTGAGTGAAGTGAGCAGAACCAGAACATCATACACTGTAACAGCAAAACTTTGCAAGGATCAGTTATGAATGACGTAGCTCTTCTCAGCAATACAATGATCCAATCCTGTGATAAAACAATGACAATTCCAAAGGACTCATGATGGTAAAGGCTATCCGCTTCCAGAGATGGAGTTTGAATGCAGATTGAAGCCGACTATTTTCACTTTATTTTTTTGTGGAGTTTTTCTTTTGGTCTATTTCTTCTTTCACAACATGACTAATATGGAAATATGTTTTACAGGATTGCATATATATAACCTATGTCAAATTGCTTACCATTTTAGGGAGGGGGAAAGGAGGGAGGGAGGGAGAAAAATTTGGAACTCAAAATTTTTTTAAATGAATGTTTAAAATTGTCTTTATGTGTAATTGGAAAAAACAAAATACTATTTTTTTAAAAAGAAAGTATATTTTACAATGATAGACAAAACATACTGGAAAACATTTTTTTTTTGTCTAGACAAGTAATGTCATCTTTGTGGTGAAATCCTGGTCTGAAAATTTCCTCCACTAAAACATCTCAGCAATTTACCTGTAACTCCCAGTCTTATCAGTTGACTGGGGACACCAAGGAGTTAATTATCACAAACAGCACGTGTCAAAGGCAGGACCACACCCATTTTAGAGCATTCTTGGCTTGATGTCAGGGCCAAAGGACTTAGAAATGGAAGGGCCCAGCCCAAGCCCTCCTTTTACAGACCAGGAGGCTGAGGCTTAGAAAAGTCTCAAGGAGAGTCAAATCCAGCATTCTCTCCACTGGGCCATGTTGCCATGGGAGGGGTTTCAGAAGCTACTCAGCCACACCCCCTCATTTTACACCTAATACTTAGCCCACACAGATGTCTACATCTATAGACATGGCTGGCAGGTAGCACAGATAGGCTCTGTGGTCTGGCCAGCCTCTGAAGGGAGGAGGAGAGCCTAGGGCCAGGCCTTTACCACTCACACCCAAGCTCTGTCGGGGGCAAATAGGCCTCAGGAGCCCTGCAAGGTGGAATGCCCTTTCTTCATCTGTTCCTCTCAAATCCTGGTGGTGTTGGGATGATAGATCCTGAATGAGAGCTCCCTTTACTGCTCTTAAGGGGGGAGGGTGGCCTTGCACTTTTATATTCACCATATCAAAGGCTGGTTCCCCAAAAAACCATCACAACTAGTGACTATTGAGCAAACCCATTTATCCAAGCCGAACAAGCCAGCCAAAATCAGAGAGGTTACAGAGATTGGAATCCACCAAATAATACACAAGAGTGAAAGAGGGAGGGAGGGAGAGATGTTAGCTCATACATGGAGAGAAGAATCACTCAGAATTTTCTGAAAGCTGCTAGAATTTCAAACAAGTCCAAGGATATAACAGGGCCAGCTTCTCAAATGTTTGCTATTTAGAAGTCTGTCTGTCTGTCTGTCTGTCTCTACCGCCCCCTGAACCATCCTCTGTCCAAACCCTTTCCCGAAGAGTTTCTGGTCCCTGATACAAATCTTTCCTGGGTCCCCCTCTCCCCTCCATTCTCCTCTGCCCTCTGTCATCCCTGCTGCCATCCAGGCACCAAGAGCCTTGTCCTCACCTACCCCAAACCCTCCGGCTGTGAAGTGAGCAAAGCTCCTTTCCAGTGACTGCCCACCTCCCTTCTCCCTGTGCTAAGCTTGGGGATACAAAGAAAGGCAAAAGGCAGTTGCTGGAGAAGCTCACTGTCTAATGGGAGGGGAACAGGCAAACTCCTTGTACAAAGGAGACCCAGATGGAATGAACTGGAGGTAACCAGCAGAAAAGGCCAGATGGTGGAGAGTTAAGAAGAAAGGAATCGAGGAAGAGGAGCCACCAATTGTCCAGAGCCTTCTCAGGGAGTTTAGCTACAAAATGCCAGCTATGGGGATAGAGTTAGAAGGTCAGGATGGGTTGGAGGACATGGACTGGCTTTTTCTTTCTCTTTCTTTCGCCTAGTACACGGTAGGCATTTAATAAATATTTACTAAATTGTTTGGAGTTGAGCGGAGCCAGGGTTGCAGGGAAGCAGGTTGAGCAAGGGTTAAGACCCCAGCGGTCTCAGCCACCCCAGGCTGCTGACCCGTCAGCTCTTTTTCCCCCACCTTCAGGCACGGTCCCCAAGGGCACAAGGTCTCGGCTCTTTCAGCCACTTTGAGGGAGGCAGCCCCCAGCCCTCCTGCGGCTCAGCGGGAAGGGAAAGGGGGAGCAGGGTAACCCGCAGTTGGACCTGTGACTGCCCCTCCCTCTCATAGCTTCATGTGGTTTCTCTACCTCTGGCCTGTGGGGCTTCTCTGGGCAAGGAAGGTCGTCTAAATGTCAAAAATCCTAGAAATCATGCCAGGAACCAAGACCGCATGGCAATGTCCCTGGCAATGGGGCCCCATTGCCCTCAAAGTCTTCCCTCCCCTCCTCCTCCAGCAGAACAGAGGAAGCCGCTTTCCGTCAGCAAACACTCCCTACTATGTGCCGGTCCCTGACTGGGTGCTGGCGATGCAGAAGTTTACCTTCCACGGAGAGAAACACTGCATTTAAATACAAAGCGGTTTGGGGTGAAGGCACTAGCAGCTGGGGGAAGGGGGACCACCGCGTCTCGGTGATTCTAAGAGGCAGAGATGAGGACGGGGGAGTCCGATGTCACTCACTACGGACTAGAACCCCCCTCCCCCAATTCTCCCACCGAAGTGGGCCGGGCGGCTCTGCGGCATCTTTGTCGGATGAAATAGGTCTGACGGCCGCTCGTGGAAGGAGACTGTCCCAGGGAGACGTGGGCGCCGGGAGCCGGCGGAGCAGGCCTTCTACACCCTCCCTGCAGGTTACTGTATTGGGGTAGTGGAGACAGAGCTGGCCTTGGAGGCAGGTCTTGGGTTCCAGTTCCACGTCAGTCACACACTGGCTGAGAGATCCTGGCCATGTGAGGGTTGTGCCAGGCACCGTGCCAAGCGCTGGGCATACAAAGAAAGGCAAAACACAGTCCCTGTTTTCCAGGATGTCATAATAATGGGGAGGGGGGAGGACAACAGACGCACAACTATGTACAAACATACAGTAGAAGGAGGAGGGGGAGGAGAAAAGGGAGGGGAGGGGAGAGCCCGGGGCTCTGAGGTCCGCCCAGTAGGGCCCGCCCCGCCCCGCCCCGCCCCGCCCCGCCCCACGTGCTCCTGTAAACAGGCTAAGGCGCAGGCGCGGGCCGCCCTCCACGCCCATTGGTCAGCCGAGCCCCCGCCTCCTCCAGGGAGCTCGCTGCGGGAAGAGGCCTCACTGGTGGCTGTGCTGGTCCTCCAGAGTAGTCGAGAGCTGAGTTCAGCAGCTGATCCCGATCGGAGTCTGACCCCTGTCCGGCCATGGCGGCCTGGCTGCTGCTCCTCCCGATACTGTCGTCTCTGCTCCCGGGCGGGGATGGCTGGCACCTTCCCCTGGCGTCAGACCCCACGCTGGAGGCCCCGGCTCAGTTTGCGATGGAGGTTTACAACCGAGGCCGCCATCCTGGGGCTGCGGCCGTGCTGCAGAGTGTCCAGGGGCGGAGCCTGAAGGTGAAGGGGCGGGGCGTCAGGGGCCGGTGGGGAGGAGCCTGTGTGTAAGAAGCAGGGACTAAGAGGGTAATTTGACTTCAGGGGCGGGGGCCTGAGGGGATGGGGGTGCAACCTACAGGTGAGGGGCTCGGCATTGGGAGGGGGTTGTCTTATTTGGGAAGGGGCGGGCCTTACTTGATGGGGTGGGGCCTGCAGGTGAGGGATCTCAGGGTGGGGCTCCAGAGGTCCCTCTACCCCCCCCATGGACTGGGGGCTGAGGGCGTGCCCTAAAGTCGAGTGGGGGCAGATAGGGTGGACATGTGAGGCTGGCCTTCTTAAGGGCCTCCTAAGCGCTGGGGATGCAGATGCAGAGAGGAGAGACAGCTCCTGCCTTCAAGAAGCTCGCAGTCTAATGAGGGGAGACAACTGTGCACAGGAGATCTGGCTTCTGGGTTGCAGGGGTCCTGAGGGTGTCACAGCTGTAAGCTGGCAATGCCCAGGGGTCCACAAGACCAAGCAGAGGGCACATGGCCAGGCTCTAGGGGCCCTTGGGTCATTGGCACAGCAGATGGGCCCCGACCAATAACTTGGGAAGGGGGGAGTGGACCCTGATTGGATAAAGGGGGAGAGTTGGAGTCCAGCCCAGGAGGGCTTGTCCTAGGGCAGAGCGGTTAAACAAATAAAAACAAGGTCACCAAACTGTACATAAGGATCCCTGTGGATCCCATATGACATAGTTTTAAAATGTGTTACCTGTTTTATTGTATTTTTATTTATTTTGTTATATATTTCCCAATTACATTTTAGTCTGGCTTGGCAGCGCTGCCCTATGTGTTGTGGGCCACATGTACGTTTGACACTTCTGGAACTGAAA